CTCCATGAAAGCTCCTGACACTACACATATACGTTTAAATCTAAGGTGCCACAGGACTACTCATTTTTTTTTTATAAGTTGTCTTTGTGGAAAAGTGATTAATTTGTTACATTACTCTGTTTACTTCCTCTGGGGCATCTGGCATTGGCTGCTGTATGCCAGACAGTATGATAGGCTGGGTGGACCTTTGGTCTGGCCCAGTACAGCAGTTCTTCTGTTCTTACTATCATGCAGCAATCAGTAAGACTGTAAAGTAGGTCTTAGTTCCAATTTAACTCAATGTACTTAAAAGATTAAATATTTCCTTTATATATATAAAATAAAAAATAGTCTCTCCTCTCCTTCCTTCCAATACTACAGTGCTACTAATGAAATGTATGGGAGACAGAACTTCTCAAGGTGGGATTGCCATTTGCAGTATTTCCCAAACAAATCGTGAAGCACTTTGCCATGCTGGATATATAAAGCAGGAAACTTCCAACAAAATGTATATGTAAAATACTCAACAATAGCTCCCACGATTTTACTTGTCCATCCCTTGTCACAGACACTGCTGAATTACATGACAGATCTTAAAAGCAGGCCTGAATGTCTAGCATCTAGAATGTTCAGCCAAAGTACCTTTCCTAATGTAAACCAAAATGGAAACAGGATTACAACTGGCATCAGTTGGCTTCTACTATAGTCACAACGGATTTAACTAGAATATAGGAAATAACTGGCTATAATTAGTTTGGTTTGATCCTGGAGATCAATTATCTAGATGGCTAATTTCAAGAAGTGAAATTTGCAGGCACCTGGGATGTAGATTAAGTATAATTAAACATGCTATTCAGACAGGTTTCTGCAAATTATTATAATACACTATGCAGTAAAACTCCGATGGCACCTGATGGTCCGGCACTCCTGATGGTCAGCACCATCAGGAACCTGGAAGTGCTCTGGGCAGCCAGACCATTGGAGCTGCTCTTCCCCCAGCTTCCCTGATTCAGGCTGAATGGGAGAAGCCGGGGGCAGGGCCAGACTATCGGAAGGGGGGGCTAGGAGGAGTCTGGGGTGGCATCCTCCCCACCCCACCCCACACCCCTTATAGCCCCCCCTTCCAATAGTCAGGCATAGCTGATAATCCGGCACCCCCTGGGTCCTAAAGGTGCCGGATTATCGGAAGTTTACTGTATTTGTCATTCTAATAACTATTTCAGAGAAATAATGTAAAAAATGAATAGAACGGAGCAAGAAAAGGGAGAGAAGAGGTCACAGGTTACTGGGGAATACAAATAAGGTTTAAACGCCTTAGCATAGCAACTATCCTATAATTTTGTAGAATGCCTAGTTCATTTTGCCTTTGAACATCATCTCAATGTAAATAAAATATATGGAGATAAGTTAGAAATATGGATTTAGATTGGTGACAGAACAAAAACCAAATCTTCTAACAGCAATTAAGTGAGATGTACAAGGAAACAGTATTGTAGGAAATAAAGCTGAACATGTCTGATATTTGAGAACCTCCACCATCTGAGTCTTTACACTCTAAAGTAAGTTTTATCCAAAAAGGAAAAAAGCTTGAAAGCTTTTAGAGCATTTACTGGTCAGGGGCTGGTACAAATGCATGTCATGTCATGTCATGTCATGAAAATTGTCTAATTGTTGGTGTGGCCACCAGGAAAGTCTAACTAAGGCAGTGCCTTTGTGAAGCATAGCTTCTGAGGCAGCGAGAGAGGGTTCTAAGATTTATACTAGAGTCCTGTATTTGGTCTCAGTTTAGGACACCATCTTTTATACTGGGCTCCAGTTAGCTATCTGAAGCTTTAGAACTGTCCAAATTGAAAGGACATGTCAACTAATGGTTTCCTTTTCAGTCGATGCTACAAAAAACCACTCTGCATTTCTCCCTTCTTCAGAGTTTTCTTTTTGGGGGGACCTGATCCTCTGAAAATCATCAGTGCCCATCTCTGACATTGAGTTGACATATAGTTATGAACATAAAGACATGTAACATTTGGTAAGTTATGTTCATAAAAATAAGCTAGTAACAATGATTTAAAAAGCAAACTAGACTTTTAAAATTAATGTCTCAGACCACACGCATTCATGAGGGAAAGTTAACCAGTTTTCAAGATCTGTAAAATCATCTTGAGAACTACAGCTTTAATTAAATGAATAAAAATTGGGAACTCTAAAAATGTAGATAATACTCAAATATCATGGAAAGCAAAACATGGAAAGTGAGAAGTTAACTTCCTTTCAAACACATTTCTAGAATAAAGTACTGCAGCCAGGAGTAGAACAGGCAACAAGTTCAGCATCTTTTCCTAAAAGATTATTTTCATCAGCGCTCAGCATCGGTCAACTCCGCTCCCACAGGTTATCAGTGGTAATACTTCCAGTGATTTCAGTGGGAGTAGAAAAAAACCAATGTAAAGTGCTTTTGAAAATTCATTCATAATCAACAAAATAATTTAGACAGTAGTAGTAATGTAAGTTTAACACTAATCTCTTGACTGAAGCATCATGCTTTCATTAACATACATTGCCAACCTGAAGGCTAAAGAGATATTCCAGAATCAATTCAACTTTGCATTTTAATATTTATGAAAAGTTTCTCAAGTTATGTTACCTTTCTTTTCTTGTGGCAAACTTTCACAAGCAGTACTTCCAGGGTTACAGAATTTTGTTCATTTTCTGAATTCTGTGATGGCTTATCTAAACAGAAAAATATTTTAAAGTCTTGAAAAAGTAACAACTCTATTCAGTGCCACAAATTTACCTGAGATTATTTTTTTTAAATCCCTGCCATTACCAGATACAAGGACTTTCTGCAAAGTTATAACATTGCATGCTTCCCATTGAAATTTCAGTGTTTCCCCATCTCTACACCTTGTATTTGTTCAAGCAGATTAAAAATGTAAGTAGAGTTGATCTTTAATACTTTCAAGTTTACTAAACAGGCCAAATTCACTTCCAATAGTCTTTTTTAGTTCTCCCAGTTACAAAAACTGAATGATTTGCCTATAAAAGGAGTTCTTCAAATAGGTCTGCTCTTCAGATCCAAATGCCAAAATGCAGTTACTCCAAAATGTGTACTTAGTACGGCTATAGATAAAAATTGTAATTGAGGCTACTGTGCAGGTTGATAGTACAGCTCAGAGGCAGAGGAGAACATCTACTAGCCACAAGCTTCTGAAGCAATAGGAAAGAAAGGGTAAATTTGGATCTGTTAAGAAAACCCAGAAAAACTCTAGTTTCAGGTGAGAAACCTGAATTATTTCCCCATAATTCTTATTTACTGCTCCCAAATCTACAATTTACAGTAAAACTCCGATGGTCTGGCACCTGATGATCCGGCACTCCTGATGGTCCGGCACCATCAGGAACCTGGAAGTGCTCCAGGCAGCCGGACCATTGGAGCTGCTCTGCCCCCAGCTTCCCCGATTCAGCCGCTGCTAAAACTGACCAGCGCTGAATCCAGGAAGCAGGGGGCAGAACAACTGGAGTGCTGCCGGGTAGGTCCAGTAGCGCTGCCCCTCGGGGCTGCGGGACCAACCCAGCAGCACCCCAGCTGTCCCGGATTCAGCCGCTGCTGAAATTGACCAGCGGCTGACTCGGAGCTGCTCTGCCCCCAGCTTCCCCGATTCAGCCGCTGCTAAAACTGACCAGCGCTGAATCCAGGAAGCAGGGGGCAGAACAACTGGAGTGCTGCCGGGTAGGTCCAGTAGCGCTGCCCCTCGGGGCTGCGGGACCAACCCAGCAGCACCCCAGCTGTCCCGGATTCAGCCGCTGCTGAAATTGACCAGCGGCTGACTCCAGAAAGCCAGAGGCAGAGCTGCTCTGCACCGGGCTTTCTGGAGTCAGCCCTGATCAGTTTCAGCAGCGGCTGAATCAGAACACCTGGGACAGAGCAGCTGGGGTGCTGCTGGGTTGGTCCCATAGCGCCGCCACTCAGCTATCTAATTTGTCTAAATAATTTTAACTTGTACTTTTCCTATTTCAACTTTTGATAGTACCTCATTTTCATTGGCGTTTACTATGTTAAATGTCCAGTCACCACAAACTTGGTGGGTAAAAAACAAAACCAAAGAAGTCAGAAAATACCTCCACCACTTCCACATTTTCTGTTATTCTTTCCCCTTCCCTTATTGAATCTTACCCAGTCCATAGTCTTCCTTTTACTTCTAATGAATTTCTGCCCCAGGCTGCCCCAAGAGCAGCTGGGGTGCTGATGGGTTGGTCTCGCTGCGCCAAGGGTCGGCGCTACTGCACCAATCCGGCAGCACCCCAGCTGCTCTGCTGCAGGCGTCTCCGATTCAGCCGCTGCTGAAACTGACCAGCAGCGGCTGAATCGGGGACTCCTGGGGCAGAGCCGGACTATCAGAAGGGAGGGCTATGAGGGGGTCTGGGGTAGCATCCCCCCACCCCACCCCAGACCCCTCATAGCCCCCCCCTTCTGATAGTCCGGCATATCTGATATTCCGGCACCCTCTGGGTCCTAAAGGTGCCGGATTATCGGAAGTTTACTGTACTTTGCACCACTCCCAAAGACTCAAATGCCATCTGGTAAAAATCGAAACTCTCAGCCTCAAGAAGAGTGTCAGACTATTGAGAGCTGGAAAAAACCCAGTTTAAAATAAACGTTAATTTACAATCCCTAAGCTACAAATTTTGCAACTGATGTAATCTTCAAGATGGCTACCACCAGAAGTATGCTCAGTAATGCCAATAAAAACACATTTGCAGTTTAAATAAAGGCTTAATCACGTGAAATTAAAGATACTTTAATAGAAAATATTAATTTGAATGTGTTTTGCATAAAACTAAACTTCAAGTTTTACTTTCTACACAATCTAAAGATGAACTTTCTGTTCTCTTAAAATTGAAATTTAGAACTATAGCACTATTTCAGACATTTCAAGTATAGTGGGAACTGGTCTATTTTATGTAAATTAATCCCTGTATTATATCAATTCCTTAACTTAATTGACGACATTCCTGCAGTGCGAAACTTTTCTTCCTTAGTCATCTGAATAAATACATTTCAGAGCACTATTCATTCTCTGGGTGCTGCGTATATCCCAATATAAACTGAAGTATTTTAAAAAAGCCCTAAACACAGCAAGTTATTTTTCAACGTCAGCCAGAATAAACTGTCCAAAACACCTTCTATAAAAAATTAGTACATAACTCAAACCACGGATTCCTGAAAAACAGTGAAACAGATGGGGTTACCATGTGCTTTCTGCATTTGGCACCACTTTACGGGATAACCATATTCTTCAATGACTTAAGTTTCTAAAAAATTAAGATGCAGCCTTAGATAATCTCAAGAATATGACCACAACAAAGGCAGATAATTATAGAAACGTCTACATTCAAAGAAGTTTTGCTCTTGAACAGCACAAATTTAATGGACTGTGTTGGTCAAGCTGCTACCTTAAGCTATCAAGGACAGAGATGCCAACACTTAAAATTACTCAGTTTAAAAAACTGCCATTTCTTTCAGTTGCCATCCCCACACTATTACCTTACGGCACACTCAAGTGTTATCCATGTTAAACTTCACACTAGCGCTCACCCAAAACCAAAATTTCATGCACCAAGTACATTGTTGAATTATACCTATCAGAACTGATATGACAGCAAAGAGTTGTCAGCATACCCATACCCTGTGTCTCCTAACTAACCTTCCTGCTGGCATTTTAATCACACTGTTCAAGCATGGTCTGTTTTTCATTTAGTAAAAATTTTATTAGCTCATCTGTAAATTTTTATTTACTCACAGGCATTAAAGGGACATTAGCAACATTAAGAATTGTAACAAATTTATGAGTTTTTTTATATTTAAGAGAAGCATTCACTGAATTTGAAAAGTAATCTTGTTCAGGCAAGACTACAAATGTTCAAACACACATTACCATCAAAGAATACGTGCAAGCAGATGCACAAACAAAAAAGAGCTATATGCAATTTGCAAAATAAATAATGGTTTACATAACTCTGAGAGCTTTTGGAAATATTTTTACTATCATACCAAAACAAAGCATGTCAATGACTACTCTGTCATAAAATGTTCTGTATTTAATATTCACTACTGTGCATACTGCTCATGAAAGATGTTCTTTTGGATGAACACGCAATCACATTGTTCTTACACTGCATAGTCCTCTACTGAAATAGTAGCAAGAGTGTATGAGAATTTCAGTTAAACTGTGCAGTCATATCACCTGTCACTGAAGGACTTATAGCAGTTATGAAAACTGCTTGAAAAAATCTGCTCTAATCTATTAATCCAGGGAGTCTAAACCAGAAACTAATTAAAAAGAGGGTATAAACGGAAGATAAGTACTCCCAAATGGAAGCAGGGCAGCAGTGGGACCAGTACTCCTCTTCTGCTATTCCTCTTCAATTCTGCAAAAGGAACACTCACACATGTTCCTACATTGAGGAAGCAACACACTCAGCAGAATAAAATCCTGTTTATAACTGGGTTTTTCAAATCCAGATGCAAGTAACCATAATTTAAGTGATAGAGATGTAGCCGTGTTAGCCTGGTGTAGCTGAAACAAAATACAGGACTATGTAGCACTTTAAAGACTAACAAGATGGTTTATTAGATGATGAGCTTTCGTGGGCCAGACCCACTTCCTCAGATAAAAAAAAAATGTAGATCTAAAATGTAGTTTTAGAAAATGCTTGGCTTTATTAAAATAATAAAGACGTCTTAAAATCACTATTTGATGGGAAAACATGTTTATTAAGGATTTTCCCATTTTCAAACAAACAACAAAATGAACATAACAAACATACAAGAACAAATTCAATCCTATCAAATTCTGCCTTTTAAAAAGCAAAGAAAAAAATCATATTTTTCCAAAAATCACTTCGCCTTCCTGACTGACAAGTCATTTTTGCCAGTGAGATAGATAGGTTTATTCCTATTAACTCACAGACATTTCCCCTTCCCCACCTCTAATATCATTAACTCACTGGCATTCACCTTCCTTTCCCCCTCCCTAAATCCCCCTTCTGTTCTGTAATGTGATTTGTCCTTTTCATGTGTGTTCATTTTTTTTTAAATTGTATCCTTTGGTATATATGGTTGTGACTATTTTCTTCCACTATTTGATCTGAGGAAGTGGGTCTGGCCCACGAAAGCTCATCATCTAATAAACCATCTTGTTAGTCTTTAAAGTGCTACATAGTCCTGTATTTTGTTTCATAATTTAAGTGTAATTTTGGAATAGTTTTCCCATATACAAAATGTTTAGAAAACATAAGTGCTTGTAGACACCATTATGCACACTAAAACTGCATTTTATGCATGCTAAAAATTTGGATTTTTTTTAAGTAAGCTGAATTTTTTTGAATACTACAAAAAAGATCTGTCATTAACAGAACACGTGTTCATTAAATTTGTTTGTTTTTTTTTACTTATCTGAGAAGAATTAAGTTCTGCTACGTAAGAATAAGTAACCAATATTAAAGCAATGGTTCTCAACCTGGGATAGGGACCCTGGGGCAGTGTTTCTCAACCAGTGGTACGAGTACCCTTAGGGGTACTCGACAGAAGACTGGAGAGGGTACGTCAACACAACTGAAATTTGGAGAAAACTGAATTTGTGTTTTAAGTCTTATAGCGCTTTATTATTTTTTTTACTTTTTGCACCCGAAAAATTTCATCGCCCACCAACCTACAATTAAATTGTTTAAACAAATGTGTTGCAATGGTAGAAAAAAGTGTGTCTGAAAACTGTAGGTATGGGGGAGGGGGTACTTTTAAAAAAAGGCTACATTAAAAAAAAAAAGTTGAGAAACACTGCCCTGGGGGACCCCAACAGGTTTCACGGAGCTACCAAATTAAACCAGAGATCAGGGCCAGCATTAGATTTGCTGGAACAAAGGGCAGAAAACTGAAGCCTCAGCCCTGCTGGTGGTGGCTGAAGCGAAAGCCTGAGCTCCGCCACCCAAGGCTGAAGCTGAAGTCCAAGCAACTTAGCTTTGTGGGCCCCCATGTGATGGGCCCCCAAGAAACTGCCCTGCTTGCTACCCCTTAATGCCAGCCATGGCTTTTAATCTACTGGATATGCAGAAAAAAAAGCTGTGGCATACGTGAGCGGTAGACTTTTTACAGCAGGTTGAGCAGGAGGGCTCAGAAAGAAAAAGGTGAGAACCCCTGCCCTAAAGCACTATTTTAAAAAACAGAACCACAAGCTCAGTTTTTGGTAGTTCAAAAATTCTATTTAACTTTTTGTGAGGTTCTGGCTGCATATAATATGCATATATTTAAATTATTAGCAACACAAGATTATTTCAGTTCATATCTTCAGATCTAGGTATGGCATTTTCAGTCTCATTTCTTAACCAGGTTTTACATCAATGAAAATATTCTTCAAACTTTGTAGAACATCAAATATAAATTTTTTTTTGCTTTCATTTCAAATTCTCAAGAAAACAAGAATTCCATACGGATGCCTGCTTAAAGAGAAAAACTCTAATTTGATACATTAAAAAAATTAAAAGCAAGACAAGGACTTTAAGCTTTTAAAAGAATCTGCATGCACTGAATGAAAGTTCACAATATTTTACTGCTTAATATTAATGTCACAAAACTATTAACTATAGTACACATAATGAGAAAATACACATTTTTATATTGTAAAAAGTGAAAATGTAAGTATTGTAGTAGTGGGATAGCTGAACTCAGAGGAATTAAAACATACTGTACAAACATCTGGTATTGTAACACAGCAAATCTATTCTGCTCAAGTTTACTGTATACTGCACTTTTTAAAAGTTTATTATGTTATAAAATAGTATAATGAATTTTAACAGACATACCATTTTTATGGAAGAAACCAGTAAATGTGAGTTGTAGATGGGCAGACAAACTAAACAGGAAAAAAAAGTTGTTAGAATAAATGGGTACTTTCCCCTAAAAAATGAGATGTTATTCAACACATTATTCCTCAGACTCCATCTAAAATCAAATCATATCTAATCAATAAGTAAATTGTCTTCCAGCCATTTAGTACCTTCCAGAGCTTCAGCATATGTAATTTAGTTAGATGCAAATTTAAAGACAAATTCTGCATATAGGAAAGTACCCCCGCATAGAACAGCGAGTTCAAAAGGCAGAATTAAGACAGTAGGTTTGACCACTGAATGAATACTCAGTGCCTGAAGACAAGGGCTTGAAAGTGTATTCTGTAACATACTACATACAAAATATATGCTAATCTGATTGAACATTCTGATTGAAACGTCAACCACTCAAAAGTCAGGAAGTGATAGAATTAGAGTTGCCTGTGCATATGCACTGTGATAGTCATATTACATAATCATATACTATTATTTCCCCACAGTACCCCAGCATCAGTGCACAGGATGAACCTGTTCTGAGCTGTGTAAAAGAAGAGGCTGCTGCCTGTAGAATTCCTTCTTCATCTGATAAGAGGCAGTTGACTGCAGGAACAGAAAGGACTGTCACATGGTTATGGCAACTGAAAGCTGCTAGTCCCAACCTCCCGGTCACTCTTTCACCTTTCCTCCAAGTCCGAGCCCCCCTCGCTCAAACACACCAACCTCCCATTCTCTCTCCCCACATCAGACTCCTTGTCACAATCTACTCCATTTTGAATTCCCAGTCTGGCTTTTATCCCCTCTGCATTTCCAATCACACTGCTTCCTCCTCCACACTAGAGTTCCAGAAAGGGGGTCAGTTTAGTGCATGACAGGCTCCCAGCTCCCAGTATCACTAGCCAGTCCCAGCTTGCAGCAGTCATTTCAAAGAAAGTCTGGCTTTCTCATGTCACCCTAGGCTGAAGTAAGTCACTCTGTGGCAATGACACATGCAGTTTGACGAGCACAAAGCTGTGAAAGGCTTAAGCATGGGATCGTCTTGGATTTTAGTACCTAAATCTCAGAAGTCTCTACTAAGCATGTGAACCACAGTTTTCAAAGGCTTATTATAACTTGATGAAATTTGGGTCTGTTTTTATGTGGTAGCAAAAGGCACAAACCTGAAGTATGGTGAAGTTATTAGCAACTGAAAACTGGACTGTATGACAATTGATGTGCAACCTTAATAGGTGGAACTTAAACATATAGTCTCCTACACATGCACAGCTCATGGTTTGATTACTCTGCAGTTTTATATTACTGTAGTTTAGTACACACTTCATCTTATTTTTCATATTAAACAGGTTGAACTTCTCTACTCCAGACTAGAGTGGTGGCAGCATCTATAGTCTGGCATGGTTTTAGTTAGCTGGATGTCCACTTATCATGGGTGTAGACAAGTTTCCCATGGTCCCATAAATTCTGTTTAAAGCCACCAATTCTGGCTTTCAGTGTTCTGTGCTGTCATTTACCCCTAAATGTCTTCTAAGAGTCCAGTAAGAAGTGGAAGTGTTGGTAATTGCTGCTAGATAATACTGAACACCCGTGGTTCAGCAAATCCTCAGGTTTAGCACTGGGAGCGGAGGTGGGATAAGAGGTCCATGATGGTGCCCAACTAGAGAGGTTCAACCTGTACTTTAACTGGATAAGGTGAATTTACTAAACTCAGACTGATGAAGCAATTTATCACATTTGGAGAAGGTTGAAAAATGAATGCGACATTGTTCTGGAAATAGTTGTCATTCATGCTAACAGAGGGTAAAAATCTGAAAGTGTTTTAAGTCCTCTATATATAGAAGCTATAATATTTGATGAAATATTGTCATTAGATAGTGTCCCATGTAAGTCACAGCAGTATTGAGAACATTTAATTTGGGGACAGTTGGTGATCTTGACTAACTTCATTCAAGTTCCCTTCCACCACTACCAATATGGCCTATCAAACTCCAGAATCATTTATGAACCATTCAGGCTAAAAAAAAATTACAAAAGTTTAAAAAAAAAAAATCACACTTAAATTGGATTTATTTTAATACATTTTTCTATATTAAAGTCTAAACTTACTAAGTAGCACATATCTGAGGAAGTTTTAATGAAAGTCAAACAACTGAACTGGCAGAAGACATTGGTAAAGTGACTGGAACCAGAGTTTGCTGAAGTGCTAAACCAGCTTTTGACAAGCTCTTTTGTTAAGCCTCTTCCACAGGTGCAGAGACACAGATTTTTTTTTTCATTTCAGTTTATTCCGCTAGTTCAGTTCTGTGACTATTTCATTCAAATTAAAAACTTATGGGGAGCTGAAAAAGTAGGAAAGCTTGTATTCCCTTTTCCAATGTATGAATAAACCTGTGAAAATGACATCTACTTGTTCTAGAAAACTGAAGGACATAGTGACCAGAAACAATCTGCTAACTATAGATAATACTTCCTTAGTTTTACAGGCAGATCATAATTAGATAAAACTTTTATTCTGATGCATCGTACACTTAAAGTATTTTTATCCAATTAAAAAGCTAGTTTTATGCATTTTAAACACTAATTTCTACCCAAGTACAACTTGACTCAAATCACAACTAAAAAAGCAAGGCTAGTAAATAAGGAATGCATTCTGCATTTTCTAACAAAAAACATGTAAAAATTAAGTATCTATAGATGTTATGTTACATAATTTCTTAAATGCATATGATGTGCGCCTATTGGTCAGCAAAAAGTACCAATGTGTTATAACTTAATCTCTCTTTAGGAAAATTAAAAATACAATTGGAAAAAGGTTTAACAAGATTTTCTGGTTGATAATTTAAAATCATGATTTAAAAGGGTGATTAAAATGGCTGGAGTTAAAAACCAATCAACCCTGGAATGCAGGCTTTCTTATTGTGCTTTGTCAGTGGATGACAAATATTTCCTGAAATCCTCAAACTACTGATGTTTTAGTAAGTACCCCAATTGCTTTAGTATTTACAAGATAATGCTTGCACAGACTTGTATGTTACATCAGAATGAAGGAATGTTATAGTGCCAGATTACATTATCAGGAGGATGAGGAATTTATTTTCTCTATATATAAAAAAGTTTTTCCTGCCAGATGACAGAATGAAATCATCAGCATCAACAAGCTCTCAGGCAAAGCGAAAGCGGCCAGAAATAGGAGATAGACAAATATAGCATGCAGCCCCCTAGTATAGTTAAGTGGAAGTTTAGTAGCGGGAGCAAATCAAAACATTTTGGCGTTAGGTCAAACAAAAAGGTATTTTAAACTTGGCCATTTTGCTACAGAACAATCCTTGGAAACCATAGACCCATCTGACTCATTTCAAACAAGCAATACCTATACAAAGCACAATTGCAAGCAAAATCAATATAACTGGATTAGTGAATATAGATTTAACATTTAGCTACCCATTTACATATTTCTCAAAATAAGATCATTTCAATGCATCGCATGTACTTCATAACCAATTTTCTGCTAATGTTCTGCAAAACTTGGAAAAAGTATACTTTCCCTCAGATCTATAATGGAGAGTGCAAAAGTCCATCTGAAATGATTCTCAGTTTGTGAAAAAGCTTCTTGAATATTCTGGTTACTCATATATGTTACAATCTTTCCATTTTCTAACCCATAATTTATAGAAAGCAAATTACATAAACCATTAAACACAACTTATAGAAATGTTTCAATTGATTATCAAAGCTGAAGGACTAAATGTGACTGCTCATCAGGACACACCATATCCCATAAGAAATTAATTACCAGAGGGGGGGGAAAAAATCTAATTTTCATTCACTGGAATGCTATATAAATGTATGCTTTCATCTTTACCTATCATATTTGTGCTGACTGCTCATGTTTTATTTGCTCTACTAATGACCACAGATTTGATATTTTTGAACAGAGAATAAATATGGTGAAGTTTTCTGTATTTATGGTATCTGTCAAATAAATGGCTTGGAGTTTAAAAAAAATGAATCAACCCTGGAATTTTGTTTAGACCGTAGTGCCCCAAATGCTCTATAGTAGCAAAATGGTCATAATGTTCACCTCTCAAGCTATCGCTGGAACCAAAAAGCATGATCACCAGCAAAATCTTTAGGGGTCTGCAACAAACTATTAAGTGCAGTAATAATTACTGAGTATCAAATACTTAGTGAAAGGAGCAGTGTTAGTGGCATATGTTGAGTGTCTTCGATATTAATTGCTGAAAAGGAATCCAAGACTTCCAATCTGGTACTGGAAAGTTAATACAGAAAACTATATTAAAATGCAAGTCTGCATACATTAATGAGGGAATTTTTTTCAGCTGCGTAAATCAAATTCAAGTGAAGAATATATTCTGCACAGTCCAAAATGCTGACTATTAGTGGGACAGACATCAACTTATTTTCAGACGGATGATTTCTTTATCAGCTATTTTCACAAAACATTAATTGAAAGACTAGATATTAAGTTGTTTACTGTTTACATTTGAGAGTTCTTTGCAGTCAATTTCACTCCCTCTCCAGCATGAGAGTCAGTACAGCAGAAAGCAGCTTTATAAAAACAAGAGTATAGCTATAAAATTACATCTTGCTTAATACAGGTATAGGATGTGCAGCTATTTAAGCAACACTTTCATTTTCTTAAAGTTTCCAATGTTTTAATACCTCACCTGTTTAAAGTTAGTTTGGTCTGTAATTTATTATTCAGAGCTAGTCCAGATACATTTCTTTGGAAATTGATTAAGCTATCCTTTAGGTATAGTAATTGTTTTGATTTTTCATTTCAGAGATCTCCAGCCCACTAATTTGGCAATACCTGTTGGCACAGTTTATGGAGACAACATACTGGTTACCAAAATTAATGGAGATTGCCTATCTCCTAGAACTGGAAGGGACCTTGAAAGGTCATTGAGTCCAGTCCCCTGCCTTCACAGCAGGACCAAGTACCATCCCTGACTAATTTTTGACCCAAATCCCTAAATGGCCTCTGCAAGGATTGAGCTCACAACCCTGGGTTTAGCAGGCCAATGCTCAAACCACTGAGCTATCCCTCCCCCACCACTTGCACATAAATTTTTCTGCAACCATCACAATGTCAAAATAAACAGAAGTTTGCCACTTGTTTTAGATTTGCTAGGTTGAAATTGAAGTTTTCCAATTATTATTTCAGAAAGCTGACCTCTCACTTATGCTGGAAGAGGAAGATGCATACTTTACTCTATTTTACATTTACCATGTAAGACCAAAATAGAATCAAAATTAAGCTAACAATCTAAAGGATCCTGGTAACATGAATCTACACAAGTGCACCTTTTATAACTCCACATTTTGAACTTAACTGCTTACTTCCACAATGCCAGACACTGCAAAACTTAGTAAGCTTGATCATTAATTCATTAAATCCATCATTTCACTGCTTAATGCAATAAAGTTTTATTCTTTTTCAATGCACAGCAACAATTCCCAATAAGCAAGTCAAATATGATATTCACAGTTTAAGCCTCTTTACTCATCTGCATGAAACACATTTAAATGCTTATTTAAAGCAAAATATTTTCCCTTGTGACTTGCTTCAAACAGCTCAAGCACAGAAAAGCACAACATTAAAAAAAATGGACCTGTGTGACCTCACATCAAACACAGAAAGCCTAAGACCAGTGGTCCCCAACCTTTAGAGGCTCCCGGGTGCCTGGGGGCGGGGCCACTCACGCGCCGGGTGCCCGGGGGGTGGGGCCACGTGTCCTGGGGCACGCCAAGGGCGGGGATGCCCTTGCACCCGGCGCCAGCATGTGTCCCAGGGCTGGGGCCGGAGCCGCCCCAGGGGGGCAGGACCACTCACCCCCCCGGGGGGCGGGGCTGCGTGTCCTGGGGCACGCTAGGGGATGGGGATGCCCTTGCACCCTGCACCGGCATGTGCCCCGGGGCTGGGGCCGCCCGAGCGCCGCGCACCAGGCGCCAGTGCGTGTCACGCGCCTGGGGCCAGCGCCGGCCCAGGTTGTCGGCGGGCACACATAAATGCCCCAGCGGGCGCCATGGCGCCCACGGGCACCACATTGGGGACCACTGCCTAAGACCAAAGGAGTCTCTCAACAACAGATAAGAATAGTTATGATGGAAATCTTGCAATCTTTATTGAACAGCTTTCACTACAATGACCACCATGCCATAATAGGAAAAGAACATTAATGTAATGAATTTAAGTTTCTTTTATTAAAAGCACCATAAAAGTAAATTACACAGTTATAATAATATAATATAATATACCATCTCGTAGAACTGGGAGGGACCTTGAGAGGTCATCAAGTCCAGTCCCCCACTCTCACAGCAGGACCAAGTTCCATCCCTGACAGATTTGCCACAGACTCCTAAAAGGCCCCCTCAAGGATTGAATTCACAACCCTGGGTTTAGCAGGCCAATGCTCAAACCACTGAGCTATCCCTCCTCCCAGTTCTAAAGTACAGGCACTTCAATATTTACAAACTTGTTGAATTCAATTAAAAAATTTATTTTGTATGTAGAGACCAGTAATAGAGAAAGCAGCAAGCAGAGCAGAAACTAATTACATGAAAAATTAGATATATTTCAGTTGGATCTTGGATAAATAAAGACCATGCTTCTCCACCACTTAAATATATTTTCATGGATCAGTTGCTGACACTGCAAGTTAGTTATGGGTAAGGTTTTTATTTTTTAAAAGCTAAGGAATAACATAGCTATTTTAGCTTCTTAAGGTGCTTAAGCATGCATACTATAAATAATGAAAAGTCTTTCCCCAACAGAAAGCCAAATCCCTTATAATCTTGTCTTTTATGCTCTCAAATTCTTATATTTTTCAAGTGCTCAAACTATTAGAGTGCATATACATAAAATATTAATTAAATGCAACACCACTCATGTGGCAAGTATTGAGCCTTTTAATAATCAATCCCTTTTATCCTGTTGTCTCATTGACAGCCATACATGACTTATTGATAAAAAATATGAGCAGTTAATACCTGTGAGACTCTTGCTCTCCTTTCATTTTCTCTACTCTTGATAACATGTCATCTACTTTGAACATTTTCCTGTGGAAAAAAAATGAAATGAAGGTAATTATCATTTTTAGAGGTATTTCCTTTACACAATATTAACTGAAATAAAACATCCAACTATTAAAATTCAGTATACACAAACTTCTTCAAATACTAGTTTAGCTTGCTGTCCTAACTTCTCCCGCCTAAAGAGAGACCAAGAAGTCAAAGATAAGTGCTTGAAAAAAGTTGCGCATATCATGATCAGAGGACTAATCAATATCAGAAATTAAAATTATTAAATTATATTGCTCTATAAAATTTTATGTTTAAACACTTAAAAATATCAAGATTGCTAAATAGGAACCCATTCAAACTGCGGTACAAATATGTTTTACTAAAAATGATATTTAATATTGTTTAGAACAAAATCAACCTCTTAACAGTGACTGCAATACCAACCATCAGTATACAAATTTGTTCTTCCATTGTGCCAAATTAACCATCTTGAAAGATTAGAAATATGGTTATTACATGGTAAAAGCCAAGTTTATTTATACTGAATTCTCAACAGGGACGATTAATGGACATAATACAAAAGTAACGTATTCACTAATGGGTCAGTTGTAGGATTATTTCAGAGGAAAATGAGTTTACATTCTAAGGAATAATCTCACATTACATTTTTTCCCCCTCAGTCTAAGATATTAACATCAAGCCATTCATCCTTTTCTATCTGATACAATTTTCAGCAATGGGCATTAAGTTGTAAACATTCTTGGGCAAAGGTTATTCAAAATTTTTCAGATGTATTCTTCTAATTCTCTTTATTAGGAAGAATAAAGTTCCATCCTGGATTACAGCAAGGTTCTTCATACTGAACTAGATTCTCATTAGGTTTCTAAAATCCTGTTTAATTGGTTACACATTTATCCATTTAATATTTAATTGGTTAACCAATTAAGGGGGGGTAGGCTGGAGCACACCTTACTCTCACCACATGGAAGGACTGCTCCAGTCTGGCTGCTCCAGTCCCTGCCTGCAGCACCTTCCGAAGACAGAGGCTGCTCCAGCTGGGCTGAAGCACCCCTGTTGAAACAGACCCCATGGAGAAGTTGCTCCAGCTCCCACAGGTTAACTGGAACCAAGGATGATAGTTACTGGTTACCTTTCACCCCCCTAATTCTCAGCATAAACACCCCCACTCACTAACCACAAGTACAGCTCCGCTTTTCATTTCTTCCTAGTCTAAGACAGACAGGTGAAGAAAAGAAAAAGAACACTGACTACAGGCAATGTTTTTCTGCCCAACACATGATTTCTTACTACCCTCTTTATGGTAAAGATGAAAGGTTAGTCTACAAGAGGCTTTTTTTTCTTCGACCAGAAGTTTCCTTCAGCAATAACAATGGTTAAGCTACCAGTGCAGACGGGGCTCCCAGAAGATACCATATTAACTAGCAAGTTGTGTAACTGTTCAGAACAAGTCTACACAAGACAATATATAGAGCTCCAAGTAGTTCTTATTGGTATGTCTGCACTTGTGCCCTTTCACAGCTACCAGCAAAGAAGTTGAACTTGTGGTTATGAACAGTGGGATATTTTTGGCAAAAGCCTCCATCAGACCTAAACAACAAGAGATCAGGATGTAAAACCAGAATGTCATTTTAAAGCAGTTAAATGAGCACTTTGTAGCTCTGAACTGATACACAATAAAGACGATTTTATAAAAGACTGGTGTGTAAACTAACATTCCCCAGCACGAGTATTTCCTTCAGTACTGTAGGTTTCAACAATAGCAACAAAATTCTCCACTTTTAGATTTAGAAAAGGTAATACCTGTATTTTGGAAGTCTTGTTTTGCTGACATTTCACTGACTAAATGGTCACCAATATTAATTTAGATGTCTGTACATTTAAAATGTTAAGTGGAGAATGGAGACAAACATGAAAGATAAGCGTGACATGGCAGTTTATCAAACTGTAATTTTGATTCTTAAGTGCACCGTAACTCCTTTATTCAAGTCTTACTGACATTCAAATAGCATTTCAAATATAAAAGCTGCTATTTCAGAATGTATCACCAACTGGGTCAAATGTAGTATTTATGAAATGGACAAATGTACAAGAGGTCTTCCCTGACATCCATATTTTTTTTTATAACTTGCAAATATAGTTTAATGCAATATTCTCAATATAACCATTTTATTAGCGTTAGCATAGTAGTGTATCCTACTCCAAATTTTTCATCTCATACTTTTTCTCCAGTTGCCTTTCTGAAACATTTACAAATTTAGCTCCAATTCAATTAATTTATTAAGGAGCTCTACATTGACATTTTCATATGTTTACAATGTTGCCAAAAATAAAGCTATTTAAAACCTTATATGAAGCTCCAGTTTGTTGTACAAAATCAAAGCATGAGCCACTGCAGTTTGTTAAGCTTGAGTAATTTTTTAGCTAAAAAGAGATTCATATTTTACTTATCAAACCCACAAAGTCATAATATTGGTCAAGCAACTCTCGACATACAAACTGCATTTCGTGCTGGTGACAGTGGATAAAAAAGAAAACTACCACTTTTCTGGTATAATTAATTCTAGAACACGAAACAGGAGATAATCCAGTCAAACTAAGGCTTGTGGTAACAAAGGGAACTATTTTCAATAGTGGTTCAACTGCACTTACTAAATAATGACCACATTCTCAGATGAGGGATTACCAAAACTAGCACTGCTACATTAGATTTGGGGGAAGAGAAGGTATTAAAAAGAGTTTAAAAAAAAAAAAATCACACATACAAAACTAAAAGGGAAGAGAATAAAAATAATCAGATTTGGCACATGCCTTACTTAGGCCCTACCTATACTTATTTGAGATCGACGCTCCGGAGATCGACCATCTGGGGCTCATTTTATAGTGGATCTGGTAAGGATTAGGTATATGAACGGTCAACCAGCAGCCCAGCCGGAGCAGCCCACCCCTGTTAAAAGTAGTTAGGCCAGCTCCCTCCAGGGCTGGCTCCTGCCTAATCTGCCTCCCCCACCACCTCTGGGGGAGACATGGGGGCAGCAGAGGAGACACGCAAGGGGCCATATTAAAAGTCCTCTCTGTGGAGCCACCTCCACACCCACCCACCCCCATCCTGGCACTGAGGCAACAGTAGGGGAGGGAGGATGGAACAGAGGCAGGGGGGGGGGGGGGAGGGGGAGAGAATAGTGGATGTGATTAATTGATAAACCCAAGTTTATCGATTCATCATGTAACTGACTACACGCTAACATCTCTAGTGTATACCTGGCTTTACAAGCATACCTTAACTCCTAATAAATGAAATGAACTATGGTCCAAGGGATAATCTGAAATACCATGTAAAGCAGTAATAAAAATTAAAGTTACTAATAGGGATGTTAAAAAGAGCGGGTAATTGTATAACCATTGAAAAAACCTTCAGCAGTTACACACACTGGAAGTGAAGTAGCACCATTACTAACTCAAATGTGCACACGGGCATGTGGGGTTAACATTAAAACACCAAACAAAACACAAACAAGATTTACCATTACTTGTAATTGGGATAAAAGCAAATTAGTTTAAGTGAAAACCTTGGCAATGCCCTTGTCTATGCTAATACAGCCAATACCAATTGTTGAATGAGGGCTATTCCTCAGCTAGACCAGGGTGGGCAATCATTTTTGAGCAGGGGCCACTTCAAAAATGTTTGAAGTATTTGCCCGTCACCCCAGAAGGGGCGGGGCCTCAAACGGAAGGGGTGGGGCCTTTAAATAGTAGGAGTTGAAAGGGTTTGCTGCCTCCCCATACCCCGCAGCTACCAGGCATCACAGCTCTTATCTCCAGCTAACCTTTCAATTCCTATTTAAAGGGCCCATTGCTCCTGGCCTTGCTGCTAGCCCACGGCCTGGGAGTCGGGGACACAGGAGCCCTTTCAACTGCTTCTATGTAATGAGCTTGCCTTCCCTGGGGCTGTTGCCTGCCAGCTATGGGGAAAGCGTGAACCCTTTAAATAAAAGAAGCTGAAAGGGCTCTCGTTTCCCTGGCTCCCAGGCAATGGGTTAGAGTGGGGCCAAGCTTGTGAGCCCTTTCAATTGCTTCTTTTTAAAGGCCTTGCGCTGGTTAGGTGGCTGCCCTTTTAATAAGAACAGTTAAAAGTGTTTGCAGCTCCGACGCCACTAACACATTGCCTGGGAGCCGGAGACGCGTGAGCCCTTTCAACTAAGGATGCAAATTGCAGTTAATTGACTAGTCGATAGAATTTCCGTCCACTACTTGACTAGTCGATAGGCACTTCCGCATTCCTCCTTTGAAATGTACAAGAGCCCCTGCAAAAAACAGAAGTGATCCAGAGCTAGGCAAATTATTAGAGTCATGCAAGACTTCCATAAAAGGAAAGAGAAGAATAGAACAAAGATACAACATGAGAAGTATATTAAAAAAGACCAAGGTAGTTAATTGGGCACTCTGATTTACCTTGCCATAAGTGAGATACTAAATAAGCGAAACGACTGGACAGAGAATGCCTTTATGTGTAGACTTTCAAATCCAAACATAGCTTTTAGTTGAACAAGATACCTCATGCCTATATTGAGCTACGGATGTTAAATATTGATTATTTTACTAGTCAAGTAGTCAATGGAATTTCCATCAACTACTCGACTAGTCAATAGGCACTTCCACATTCCTCCTATGAAGTGTACAAGATGTACGTTTCAAAGCAAAAACGCCGGCATGGAACCCAGGATCGGCTGCGGACTCTGTGCGCTTTGAAATGCCACAACACACATTTAAAAGACAATAAAAATCGAACAGTAGGTCTTAATATTAAACCACAAGTTTTCCCCAACTTCTTTTATGTTAACATTTTCACAAAGATTATGAAACAAAACTGACTTAGTCCACTTATTTTATCAACTTGGTCACCCGTTCTGCACTAAATAGATCACAAACACACACAATATATGTTCAGTTAAAGACCAATTATAAATTAAAACAGCAGTATGACTTTCTTGGTAATTTCTAAGAAATTTAAACACTCCACATGAAATTTAAAAAAGTTTGAAAACTAGAAAGATTCATGCTTACTCTCTAACCTGCTGTCCAAGTGAACAAACACACACCCCAAAAACTAATTTTTGCTGGATTACAAACAGAATAAAAATCTGACACTATGTAATAAAACTAGGATGAAAATGTTACATTTCAAAAGATTTAACAAAATAAAACACAATATTGATTGATCCTTAATTAAATCCAAGTGAAGCTTTACTGAAAACTTCATTTGACACATTTCTCCCCTCCTGAATGACCTAAGTAATTTAGTTACTATTTGTCTGGCATTTTTGAGATTTGAGAGACCAGGGATATTAAGAACGAAGATGGCTATTACTGTGGTACGTAAATATATGCCGTTGCAGATGTTGCTTTATATTAATTATATATCACTGTATATCCAGCGCAATGGATAGGTAAATATCACAATGCTTAGCAATTGTTTATTTATAATAGCGAGAAGAAATAGGCCATGAGCTAGTTTTTCCATAAGTTCTATTAGCCAAGAACTAATGAATTCACTAAAATTTTCATCATGCTCAAGCTGTGTATACAAATTCCCCACACAGAAACCTCAGTCAATGAGATTTTCCACTCCCCCATTCTTAAAAAAATTCCTTTCAACCTTCTTGCTCCCTGCAATTACAGTGTCTGAGGAGGTAGTACATAAAGCACTAAGAGCTTAATTGATTGTACAGATTCATGTTGAATAAATAGTGGCAATTAGGGTCTCGCCTACAGGTTTGCTGGTACACATGTAGTGGCAGAGGTACACCAGCAATCCCCCCCCTTGCTGGAGATGCAGTTTATACCAGCAAGAGTTCTTTTAAACCATTTCTCTGAATGGAGTAAGTTATACTGGCAAAAGAACTTTTTTGCAGCTACAAAGTGCATGTACACTAGGGCTTTTGCTAGCATAGTTACTTTGGTCAAGAAAGGAGGGGCAGAAGTCACACTCCTGACAGGCATTGCAATGCTGGCAAAAATTTGTTTAGATGGGTCTTTTATTAGACCTATCAGCAAGGTTTAGGTGAAAACATATTTGTGATAGCCATCTTTAGCAGTTTAGTTGGGGGGAAATTTCCCTTGAACATTCAGAAATAGTTTAAATCTATTTTACTAGTTGGATTACATTTGTTTTCTTTATAAAATACACAGTATTAAACAGCTTTGCTCCTCCATCTTTCCTACATCTAATTACAGATTAAATTTCAATGGAGCAGATTACTTTTAAAAAACCTGAACTTTTTATCATAAATGAAATGGTCTCTAACCTATTCACTACATAGGGAAACAAGAGCTTTAAAACTAGATTTGAAAGGGTGGTATACTTTACCCTTAAATTACAGTTAATAAAGAGGTATTTGTTTCATATACAGAATCTGGGCATAACTTATACAGCTGAGGAATGAATTTTCGTATTATGAAACAGCAGCAAATAATGCTTAATGTACATGCAAAACACCACTTGTAGTTGCTTGGCAACAAACAAGAGGCATAAAAAAAAAAAAAACAAGTTTCAGGTAATAGAGGGGAGACATTTTAACTACCCAGAATGAAGACACATGATAGTTTTCACAATGCAAATCTCTTCTTGCATATGAAGTACAGTTTGCTTGGTATATCTAGAAGATATCAATATGATTTAGGCTGAGACATGGTAGTCTTTGGTATAGGACCGATTGCCTAAATGCCATTGGAAAACTTGTGGGAAAAGGAGAATAGCAGTATGAACCTAAGATCTGGATCTCTTAACACCAAAGCAGCCTGAATAAACAGTAAACATTATTTCTTGAAGTCAGGCTTTACCCAAGTTCAGAACAATTAACAGGGAATGTCAAGATAAATTATCCAACCCACTGCAGTAACAGTCTGAGAATAGAAAAAACCAGCAACTACAACATGCTTCCACTTCACCCCTTATTAGGAGAGTAACTTTGATTTTAGGAAAGAATTATGGGTTGTAGGTGTAGATTTTTTTAAACTCTTTTCTGTTCACTGGCAATAAGTGGAAAGGAACTATACAAGCTATAGAGTAAGAAATTACACTAAATACTGGTTCTTCACTAAATCAAAAGGAGAATGCAGAACACCACCTACTCAGAACTAACATGTAAATTATATTTTTCTTGGATCAATGAGAACAGGCTTATATTTGATTTATTTACTGCCTACAGAATAGGGATGTGAATGAGTAACCAGGAAACATCACTCTTACCCGGTAAGCATCACTGGGTAACAGTTAACTTGTTCTCCAGGAGCTAGCAACCCACCTCGCATATCTGGGACTGGGAGCTCCACAGGCTGGAGCAGTCTCCCACCAGGGATCCCACTTGGTTCATTAACTGATTAATTGGGATTTTACATCCCTACTACAAAACCATGTTTTATATTCCTTAAAACACCCATCATTACAAGTGTTTCATTCCATGCTTTTCTCAAGACATATACACTTGGTTAAAATATCTTAATGCATTAAGCAGTATAAATGTTGGCTGCTAACTAGCCATAGAATAATGACCTGCTGTCTGACTAAGGAAATCACTAAAAGAATTTGAAATTATAAGCTAAAAATTTATAATGCTGTGTCTTTCATCCAGAGCAATCTAAGCACTTCAGCCTTCAGAGAACTGCAAATATCCTTCGTTAAAAGGCACTATTGGTTTACCATATGATAAAACCAGAACCCTAGTACTGAATCATATGCAACAATTTTAAAGAAAAGATATGGCTTTAGACACTTTAAGAATTTTTTTTATCTAAAGCTAGAGCACTAATTTCAACTGACTATTGCACAAAACAGCTTTCAAAACAATTACAGAAAAATAATGCAGATATAGTTTCCTACAAAAGTAGCTTAAGCAGACTTCCCAACATGTTCAGCTATGCTAACCTGGCAATATTCTTTAAAAAAATATGTATCGTCTTTCTAGTCAGAATTTATTAGATTCATGTAATAAAGCATAATTGGGTCTATACCTTGAAAATTGGGCCTTCGTCCATCTCCCTCTTGTTTAACAGAAATGTATCGAGAATTTAGACTGACTCATATGTCTAGCTTTCATATTTAAGTATTTCTAAGGAAAACAATGAAAATATTCCCATACGTAAAGTTAAGCATGTGCTGATTGTTGGCAGAATGAGTTATAAATACAACTCATTTATAAACATGCACTTTTTTCCTGAAACCTGGATTTTAAAACTGAGTTGATGCGTGAATCTTTAACTTAAAAAATAACTCATGCCTCACATTGCATCTGAAAAGACCAATACATTCTGTCCAGCTGCTCCATTTCTCTTTTGCTCTTTAATCAGTTAACATTAGCCTATTAAGAATAATTTTCAAATAGAATAAAATTACCTTCTGATATTTGTTCGGGAGTTTCTGTGGGACATATATGTGAGAGTTCTGTGCAAAAATATTGGCTGCAAAGAAATTGAAAAAATAATTAAAATGCACAAGTTGGAAATTCCTGCAAATTCAAAATAAAGAAAGAGACTAAAATCAACAATTACTCACTGCTATGAGATTCCGGGTACGTAGAAATCTATATATCTGTGTTGGTTCTACAGGAAAGAAATACACATTATTCACTGTATCTGATTCTCCCCTCCCCCAAAAAACCCCACCAAAACCTAAGCTCACATGCAAATACTGAAAATTTACAGACAATCCTAAATGTTTCACTTAGTTTTTAAAAATGTATATTTAGCTTAATAGTACCTAAGTGACAACTATGATGTATAAATCAATTCAGATTAACAGCATCTTAAATAGTTTCAAATTTAAATTCAGATTAACAGCTACTGTTATCTGTAGTATGACCCACATCTTACAGCATACATCACAACCATGAAAACTTCAGCAAACTCTGAATTATCTTTTGATTTTTCATCAAAAGATCTAGTCCCTGTGCTACCTTAGCTCCTTCAGAAGGTGAGCAGAGGAAGAAAACAGCTAAGAAAGTAAATCCGAAGTATTCTTTAACCATAAGCAAATTGTCTGTTCACCTCCACCCCCCAAAAATCTGTGCATCTGATATATAGCTTAGTCTGCTATTAATGTATCAGACAAATTCAGGTTTTTTCTTTGCAATAAAGCACACACACGTCCTTTGTCAATAATTATATGTCAAAAAAAGTATTAATGTAGAGTGGTAATCAATTACCTCTGAAACTCATTGTACATATAAAATGCCAGATATAAAATGGCTTTAGACCAGGACAGAAATGTCAAAAAGCTCATGTCCACAGAATGGGAAAAATGTTAACTTTAGCTAATTAACATCTGCTTCAACAGCAAGTCAGTTTTACCATAACTTAGTACTGGTTGATGACAATGGGTATAATACTCCATAATCACACCGAATACTATCTTCTTTTAGATATAATGTTTGGTAATCACCAATATAAAGACTAAGTCTTGTCTACATGGTGACTACAGTATACAGGTGTCATTTTAAACCAACAAAATTAAACCAGTTCCAGGTTAACCTAAACTGAAAACAGAGTTTGTTTTGTGTGAGTCAATTAAGAATTGATTTTAGCTAACTAGAAATAACCCACTTAAACTGAAATAAGAATATTCACTAATTTAACACAAATGGAGAAAATATAAAGGAATTCAGTTTGCTCTAACTCGTGTCCCACTCTGTCCCCCACAAGATTTTTAGAAGTAGAGGAGCTAGCCATTTCAATATATTAAAATAAGGTTTGGTTTTTTATATTTTAGATTTTTATACTCCTGGAACACAATTTGTTCTAGTGACTGGAAGTTATATTGTCGTTTAATTATGAAAATTGCAAATGAACAAGGCTAAGCTCTACAAAAAGCATTCTCTTCATTTATTTTCACAAATGTAATTCAGTTTATGCAAGTATTTTAGAAATCATCAATTCAACAAAGCCTTTAGTGAGCTCCATCCTGAATTCTGTATATCCTAACTGAAAAAATTCACATAATAAAATCTGGTCATAATAAAGGTTTTACTATGCTTCAAACCAAGTTAAAAAACAGAATAGAAGGCAAAAGATCAAGGGAAGGACATACAGTAGAACAAATATTTTGTCATCACCATTCATGTAGGATAATCTTTAACACCTCAGCAAAACAAAAATAAAACATAACTACCCATATAGAAAGACGTGAAAAAACAAGCACTCTCAAAAATGTAGTGCTACATTTAAAAACAGATCATGACTTTATGAATTTAAACTCTGACTCGCTCATGAAATGAGTGAGTGAAGAAACACACAATGTAACTATTTTAGACACCTTTCCAAGAATACCTATTAAACCACATATTCTACAATCTATAATACTGTCAAGTAAAAGCCAAAATAAGTTATCCTTAAAACAGACAAAATCCACACAAGTGTTCCTGATATTCACCACTGCTAGGTTATACATTAAATAAAATTATTAGGATTTATGTATTCTTCTCGAATTAGCACTATAAAACTGAATTCACAATAAGACACTAAAGTAAACTTCATACACTATTATTTATTTCTACTCATTACATACCCAAATCTAAAGCCATCTTCTCAAGTAGTTAGAGCAGGAACTGGGAGCAACCATTCTGGGTTATATTCTCAGCTCTTCCACTGATTACTTGTGATCATGAGCAAGTCACTTAATCCTCCCTACATCACTTGACTTAATACAGTATTCACCATCCTTTCATCTGCATTAATGGGGTTAATTAACAGTTGTAGAGAATTTGCAGTCACCCCCTCAAGACTCCACACACAAAAACTAAACTATTATTACAAGTAACTGCAATGGTGACAAGCTCACCTCAAAACAATCTCTCTATTTAGTATTTTAATTTTTCCTTCAAACAGTGTACACAGCAGAGCTTGGCATACTAGAGTACAATGTAAAAGTTAATAATTGCACTGGATATTTTGACCAAGCTTCTGTGAGTAACTCTATCCTGTATCCAAAGGAACTCTCTGCCTATCTGGAATCCCCCTGGGGGGGGGGGACCACTTCAATTTCAAATTAAAAACCCTCAATCTAATTCTCTTTCACACATAGGAGCAAAATATAGTCTCCATAGGATCACAATGCTCTCAACAGCCTAAGACGCAAATATTAGCAAAAGAGATGGAGCATAAATCGAAGGGGCACAAATACCCCCCCTCTCCCGCCCAAGAAGCGTCCTCGGGATGGGAAAGAGAAAAAATAAATCACCGTTGAAGTCTTCCCATTTAATACATTTCCAAAAGGCTAAATTCACAGCCTAGAAGGCGCTTGAGCAGAGGACGGATATCTTATGCACCGTGCACCCGAAAGCGGCCCCGAACCTGAAGAATGCTCCTGCCACATCGGGCTGACCCGCATCCCTGCCACCCCCATCCCCACTTCCGTTCCGTGCTACGAACCTCTCCAGCCCCCGGATCTTCTCCCTCCGGGAAGTCCGGCCCAGGGTTCACGTCCCCCCACACGGTAGGATCTTGTTTCCTCCCCCCCATATCTCCCTTTACCCGCCATCATGCACCCCGATATCAACCCTGCGCATCCCCGGAGCCTCCTCTTCCCCGAAACCCTTCTGCTCCCTGCCTACGGCCGCTCCCGGTACTCACTCTCGAAGGCCTGCAGGAAGAGCTCGTGGTCGGCCTGGATCTGCTCCATCTTCGGCTTACACGGTAGGATCTTGTTTCCTCCCCCCCATATCTCCCTTTACCCGCCATCATGCACCCCGATATCAACCCTGCGCATCCCCGGAGCCTCCTCTTCCCCGAAACCCTTCTGCTCCCTGCCTACGGCCGCTCCCGGTACTCACTCTCGAAGGCCTGCAGGAAGAGCTCGTGGTCGGCCTGGATCTGCTCCATCTTCGGCTTCTTCACGGGGGGCAACGCTGCAGCCGCCGCAGCCGCCGCCCC